ACAGTCACATAAAGCACCCGGTAAACCTGCAATATGATCACACGTGGAAATATACATTGCTACAGGAGTATATACAGTATCTATGATATAAAGTATAAATCACGCCAGCTCGCATCATTCTTACTTTGGCATTAATCTCAACATGTTAACATTTTAGACACTTAGTTATGGGATCAGACCCGGAATTATTATATTTGTGTCAGTTTGATTATGTTGAATGAGTCCTCAAGGCAGTAAACCTAGTTACCTAGTTGTTTGGCATAGTTGTGTAGTCATAGGCACACATACGTTTTATCAGGTCATTATTATTATTATTATTATTATTATTATTATTATTATTATTATTATTATTATTATTATTATTATTATTATTATTATTATTATTATTATTATTATTATTATTATTATTATTATTATTGTAACTAATCGATACATCCTGCATCAATCTTTCTGTCTATGCTGTACAGTGATGCCCGTAATGTATATCTTGAAAGTCACTCAGCACTCACTATAATAATTCGGGTGTTTTGCCGGCGCTTCGTGGTCAACAAACACTCAGACGACACTTGTGTTTGTTGTGATATTTCCATCTTACAAACAGATCCTTGAATAGGGTCTCTCTCTCTCTCTCTCTCTCTCTCTCTCTCCTTCTCTACCCGGGTAATTTTACAAGCAAAGAGTCGGGAGTCATTAAGAAGATCGTTCTCACCGATACTTTAGTCCTTACGTTCTCTTGTCCTTCTACAGAGCCGGAGTTATTTACAGAGCCGGAGTTATTTACAGAGCCGGAGTTATTTACAGCAGCGGAGAACTCAACGTGTTTGTTTAAATCTCTCTGTTTTTGTTTCTTTCTCGTTGTCAGGTCTTTGCCACCTGTCTGTCTGACCTTGGGCAAGCTTCTCTATAAAGTTTGTTGTGACTTTACCCTGACATGTCCCTCCCCGCCACGTGGTCAAAGATTCGGCTGCTTGTACACTTGGGGTTACTGATATTGCGGTTACTCCCACTGTACTGTGTGAACTTTTGAGACGTAGACTGACTCGTGGATTGTTATTTATACCTGGCCAGGTGTGCCTCCCAGAGTGTATTTTTGTGATCCTGGGTGAGGAGGAGGAGGTGGATGGGATGCTGTGGGGTACCTTGTGCTAGCCGGTCAGTCGACATGCTTACCGACCAACTGAACTATAATATGACTTTTGAGTTACTCGCGGGATTTGGATGATAATTTGCAGAGTGACATATACACGTTACAGTTCCCTCTCCTGAAGGTCAAGGTCACGTTGTGTAATCAAAGGTAAAAACCGGCCCATGACTTTAATGTTAAAATGCTAGTCTAGTATTATGATGGGGAAGGGAGTCGCGTACCATCATTATATAGCTGTGATCTTGAGTTTCAGTGGTCAAAAGGTCACCAAAGAAGTTCACAATTTTAATCGACGAAATTTTCACAGCTGTAATTTTGAGTCAATATTGGGTAAATGTCAAGGGTCAGAGGTCACCACCGAAAAATCATTGCACTCTTGATTCGATAAAGAAATCTGAATCTTTTGATGATTAGGACACACCAATTATTTCATCAGATGATTAAACACCCTAATACTAACCTAACCAAGTCTAACCTAACCTAACCTAACCTAACCTAACAAAGTCTAACCTAACCTAACCTAACCTAACCTAACCTAACCTAACCTAACCTAACCTAACCTAACCTGACCTATCTTAAACTAACCAAACCAAACATAACATAACTCTCCATTTTGCTTAAGGGTGTTCAATCATTAGGTGGAATAGGTGGTGATTCCTAATCTTCATATCAGCACATAAGAATCCAGTCCACGGTGATGTGAGAATGTGTCTCTCCAGTTCACTAACGATGAAGTGAGACGTTGACTGCTAAACTGACGTGAAAATTGCCTCTGGTGATTAGGTTCTTTTTGTCCGAAGTTATAATGATGGAAAACACACACACACACACACACACACACACACACACACACACACACACACAGGATACGAATCTTTAGGAATCCGAGTGTAGATGAGGATCGGTTAACTGGTTATGGCTCGTGAAAGAAAGAATGAAGGTGAAAGAAATGACGCCTCGTAAGAACACAGAACTCGTGTGGCAAGTTGTTCACTTCTGTGCCTGCAGTCAGTACGTGTAGTGAGATAATTAAGGCCTTGCTGGAACCCACTATGAATTTTAATGAAGATGTCCAGAGTAGCGGCATAATTATTGAGTTACCTGACGGGTTATCACTACCACTCGCATCCCCGTGTTTATGAGGCCATACCTGCATTATTACCTGTCCCTCAATGCTGTCTCCTACCTAATTAGATTTCCATATAGTCATTTTAGTTTCCTCTGATTCTTTTTAGGGTGTTGTTGCTAATATGAAAAACAACAACAATATTGAAATTTGATCAAAGTTATAGGTTATCATTAAAGGTCACCTCACGTTAGGAAGCGTGTATAGTTCATGACCCAACTGTACCAGGTCGGCCAGACAGTGGATAAAAATAAACATTGCCCGCGTAGTGAGGATCGCCATAGGACTCGAATCCACGTTGCATCAATCATAGTTTAAATCTCTTCCAATTTTTACCTTTCATTTTCTATTCTTTCCTTCGGGTATAACCCTATTTATGTAAGGTTGATCCTAAAGTTGAACTTCTTATGACAGAAATTAACTCTTTATATACAGAGTTATGGGCTGGGAAAGTACCCCTGTAGATCAGACACTAAATAATTTTTCAGTACTTTTAATGCCAAATAATTTACACAAAACATTTAAAAATAGTATATGGTGATCTCAGTGATCTTAGAAAATGAACAAGTGTTAAATCTCTCTTTATTAACCCCAGTTTATGGTGTGGAGTTCACTTTTATCATCTTGTTCTGGTTGATGCCAGACGATTTTATTCAACTGTGAGAATCCTTTGGTATTAAGATCATAATAAAGAAATAATAATACTGCCAGTATATTGGCTGTGTGCATGTAATTATATAATTATATTTTCATCATGACTACTGACTTATTTATACCAAGTTTCCAAGTGATTTTCATGTAACTGATTTCATCTTTTTCTTAGGAAGCCTGTGCACGCATTATCCTTTTGTTTGTTGTATTAAAAGATCTTATTTAGGTGTTTAATGATTAAAAAAACTGATATTTTGGCCGAGTCAAGTACCAATAAAAGTTATTATTAATCACGAAAAAAAAAGCAATGAATAGCAAAATATGAAGAATAGCCGAAAGTGGCGGTAAAATGGTGGCAAAGTCACGACACACACACACACTACTTACTACTACTTTGTTGTCACTCGAAATAAAGTATGACAATCATCCAGCTATGATACAATGATATGAGTTATTAAGGATGTCACCTTCGTTGGTGAGTTCTGAGGTGACTACAGAGACCGGTACGGGACCGGCAGAGTCAATCACAGAAGTTGCACATGTAGAGGGCTACATCTAGTGCGGGAGGGCGGCGGCAGCATCTATCCGGCATTAGTGAATGTCTGCCTCGGTTTGCAGTCGGGCTAATCCGAAAGTATTGACACATTCTCGTGTGGTGCTCCTCCAAGCGTTACGGTGTAGTGTGACCGTTTCCCAGGTGAGGGGGTCGATTTGGCACTTTTTCAGGGTTGTTTTAAGACTATCCTTATACCTTTTCTGTTGCCCGGCAGCGTTACCTTTACTATTCGTTAGGTGACTGTAAAGTAGCTGCTTTGGCAGTCTGCTGTCGTCCATGAGGGTAACATGGCCAGTTCAGCGTAGTTGCTCATGGATAATGGTAGCCTCGATGCTCCTACAGTTGGTGTCAGCGAGAATACTAGCATTTGTTCTCTTGTTTTCCCAGTGAACTCGGAGGATTGAACGTAGACTAAGTTGGTGAAAGTTTTCAAGTGCCTTGAGGTGCCTCCTGTATGTGACCCATGTCTCGCTGCCATATAGCAGGGTGGAGAGGACCACTGCTCGATATACTTGCAGCTTTGTAGACAATTTCAGCTCCCTACAGCTGAAGACACGGGTACGGAGTCTGCCAAAGGCTTGAGATGCACATCTGATCCGATGTTGAGTCTCTTCATCGATGTCTGCAGTGGTGGACAGGTAGGAGCCGAGATACCGAAAGTGGGTAACATTAGAGAGGGTAGTACCGTTAAGCTGGATGGATGGTGGAGGTGTGGCTGAACCAGGGGCAGGCACATTCACCTCACTACCAGAAAGTGTTGTGACGGCACCGAATGTGAGCTCTTTCAAGACCAGATTTGACCAACAGGAGCCGGTGCATGCCCAGTATTTGCAAACAATGCATAACAGAGACGTGACCGATCGCCCAAATGGCTAACGAGCCGATCAGTGGTGAAGAGGATAAAAGTAAAAAAAGTAAAGATATTTCTGTTGTGGATGTAGCTTGAGGTTGACGGCCTTAATGACCATGGCAGTTAATAGGCCTAAATCCCAAACAACCGAAGTGAGGAGAGGCGTTCTAGATTGCTCACCACCAGAAACACTAAACAAGGTTGTTACGTGATCACTTCCACCTCTCGCAACTACCGTTCTTAAAAAAATAATATTACGTGGTGAAATATAATAGAATGAATTATTGGATAGAATGTAACTCGTCCACTCATGTGTCCCCGGTCCCAAGAAGACTCCAGGTGGTTGAAGAAAAGGGAGGCCATTGGATGAGTTATTAAGATTCTGTATGGCCTGTGTTGGTAAATATTAAATATATATATATGATTTCCTCCCTCGTATTCAATATTTCTCCTCATGTCAACGTTATTGTAAATATCTAATTACCTTTGTTTAAAACCTGAAACAGAACTTTAATGAATGATAAACAAGGAAGTGGATAACACATTATAATAATCATAAATTAAGGTCCTTGTCATATTGACCTGTGATAATCTCACCCGGACTACGGTAACAGGTTCTTCCCAATTAAACTTCAAATACTCATTAAATTCCAGGATCACAATAAACACTAAATATGTCAAATATAATATTGAAAAATTACAATTCACAACTTTATAGGGACATATCACCCAACTCCTATATATTATGACATCTTACAGAAGGTACCCAACTAACCCGGCATAGCCACCTGGCAGTACAACCATAACTTATATATTCAGACAATCCAAAAGATAATACAACTTAAACCTAACATACACTGGTAACTTACAATACCTACACGATACAGAGGACACGGGCCAGCTGTAACACACACTGGTAACTTACAATACCTACACGATACAGAGGACACGGGCCAGATGTAACACACACTGGTAACTTACAATACCTACACAATACAGAGGACACGGGCCAGATGTAACACACACTGGTAACTTACAATACCTACACAATACAGAGGACACGGGCCAGCTGTAACACACACTGGTAACTTACAATACCTACACAATACAGAGGACACGGGCCAGATGTAACACACACTGGTAACTTACAATACCTACACAATACAGAGGACACGGGCCAGATGTAACACACACTGTGGTAACACAATACCTGCATACAGAGGACACGGGCCAGATGTAACACACTGGTAACACAAATACCTACACAATACAAGGACACGAATAGCTGTAACACACACTGATGACTTTATTTTACCTACACACAATACAGAGGGACACCCAGACCCAGCTGTAACACACACTGGTAACTACAATACCTGCACACATTACAGAGGACACGGGCCAGCTGCCAACACACACTGGTAACCACAATACCTACAATACAGAGGGACACGGGCCAGATCTTAAACACACACTGGTAACTTACAATGCCCACAATACAGAGGACACGGAGCCAGATGTAACACACTGGTAACTTATAATACCTACACAATACAGAGGACACAGGGCCAGATGTAACACACACTGGTAACTTACAATGCTACCTGCTATTTAGAGGACACGGGCCAGATGTAGCACACTGGTAACTTACAATACACACACTGGTAACTTACAATACCTACACAATACAGAGGACACGGGCCAGATGTAACACACACTGGTAACTTACAATACCTACACAATAACACACACTGGTAACTTACAATACCTACACAATACAGAGGACACGGGCCAGCTGTAACACACACTGGTAACTTACAATACCTACACAATACAGAGGACACGGGCCAGATGTAACACACACTGGTAACTTACAATACCTACACAATACAGAGGACACGGGCCAGATGTAACACACACTGGTAACTTACAATACCTACACAATACAGGGGACACGGGCCAGCTGTAACACACACTGGTAACTTACAATACTTACACATACAGAGGACACGGGCCAGCTGTAACACACACTGGTAACTTACAATACTTACACTATACAGAGGACACGGGCCAGCTGTAACACACACTGGTAACAATACTCTAACTAGTAAATACAGATATAATGAAAATATTCTTATAAAGGATAAATCCCAATTGAATCTTCCCACCCCTATAACATGGTACAAACTCAGACATGACCTAATTACAGTAAATCAACGATCTAACTGGGTGACCCCTACTTAAGAAACCTCTCACTGTTCGTTTTACTTACCCTCTATTATAATTAATTCATAACTATCTAATCAACTATCATTAACGTAATTACACTATACTTTGTGTGCGGTTTTGAAACTTCTGGCTGACATCTTACCAGGGGGTATTAATAATCTGTAACTAAGGTAGTGTTTCTGATTACAACTTAGATTGGGTCGTCCAGATGATTTTGACTCGTTCCCTAGGTACCTCTGATTCCCACTCTCCCAGCACCACCAGTCGGGCTGCCAGACGACCGATCTCGTCACTTGATTTAGCTGCCCATCTGTTGCCTCCCAGGGCCACTCCGAACCCTTGTGCTATGATGTCAATGTATGGCTCTTGGTTGGGCGTGTGAGAGGTGAGGCAGCCGTCCCCAGACACCTCCTCAAACTGCACATCTGACGAACCAAGGAATATTAAAGTAGTTTTGAGTATGTTTTAGGGGCGTGTAGTCGTATAATTCATATTGAAGGTAAAAAGATTTAGTATGGCAGTCTTAAAAATATATAATAAATTATTTTAGACACGAAAATTCGCACGTATTTCCTTCCCTTAAACGGAGCCAAATAAATAGTATTTTTTTTTTTAGTAAACCTCCAAGAGTAACTTAAACATCCTTCACTTCAGCAGGACGAAGACACATGTTATAATTTTAATGTTTTAGAGAAGGAGTGAATAGGTGCCGTCTGTAACAACCCATCTCCCCCCAACACCTCATGATCGATCTAAAATTTTATGTGAGGTTGTAAATTCGAATTGTCATCGTATGCATTATATGAGTTGCTGTTTACACCATAACCAAGTGACGAAAGAGGAGAATGAGGAGTGAGAGAGAAATAATGATAAGATACTGTATAGTTTCTAATCATATGGTGATTACAATGCCTAATGACCAGGGTACATTTATATAAATTAGTGAGATCATTGCGTGATGAATATAGTATCTGGAATAGCTACACGGTCGTACCTGGTAGAAGGTGGTGAAGGAAACGGGTGAGTTTGGCGACACACTCAGGTATACCAGTGGCCCTTCTGTACCACTTGGTGACCTGATCTTCCGTCACCAGCACCTCCTCGTGTCTCCTATTGTGGCTCACCTTCAAGTACCATCGACCTGGAGAGGTGAACTGGTATGGACTTACACTTAGAGAAAAATGACCTATTCTGCGGTAATGACAGGGCGATATGACCATGTTAGAGCGATGACAACATGATAAACTTTAAGCTTAGAATAGCATCGCCATATATACTGTCTACTTACGCTGTAATTATGTTAGGAATGTGTAATTTAACTCTCACAAAACAGAATAATTTTTGTTGGCACCCTAGAATATTTCACGCAGAGAGAGTGGGGAGAAACCAAGAGGACCTCAGGAACTCACCATCAGGATATTTGATGGGGGGCAGAGCGTACCCACCGTCCAGGTCCTCGAACCTACAGTTGGTGAAGAGTGTGGGCATGTACCTGGAACACACACTGAATTAAACACTGGGGATACACTTGACTTTATATTTCTCATTTATACCACGAGTTCATTGGAAGCGAACTAACCATGTGAAGGAGTTGACCAAGAAATATGAGAAAACAGCAGATAACATGAAGAAGTCTAGTGGTGTTTACGTTTGGTTTTGAGATTGTTTGTACCTGCAGTAAACTCGAAGGCATAGAGATGTATTCCCCCATTTGATGTACGAGTGGTATTTTGCATATACCATTTAGAAGGTGATTTATATTTACATTTTATTATTTAACATTCTGAGAGGCATTTTACATATTGTATTAGGAAATTCACATGTTTACGAAGCTGATATTAGACGAATTAATTAACCTTGATCCATAAGTTAAAATGATAATTATTTTTCTCACAATCATTTCTGCTTGATGAATTAAACAGGTGGAAGAAACAGTTAAATTTCTGATGACTTGGATGAACTGAACACAAATAATAATTAATGTCATCCAAAAGTTTGTATATTATTATCTTTTTAATACATTGGCACAAATTAAACCCTTCCAATGTGATTCCCGCGCTTTACCATTTTATTTTTACCGTCGCCAGAAGATTTTATTCAGCTTAGAGAAACCTCCCGCGGCCACAGGGTTAATATCGGGTATACACTTTGGCCTTGGAAGGTTAATCACTGAGGAGAAAATAAGACGTTCAAGGTATCTGATAAAAAAAGTATTGGTGAGTTGGTGATAACATGGTAACATTAGATTTACTTGTCATGGGCTTACTATCTTTGGCAGTTGCTAAGCGTAGATTATATGTTAAGTGTACCTGTACTATGTAATGCAGTTAATTGAAATCTGTATTTTGTTGTTGTCCGGAAACGAATTGCTATGTATAACTTGAAAAAAATGAAGAGAATAGGCATTTATAACCAACGGATTACTGATCTAAATTTACAGAAGCCTTGAGTGTACAGCACCTGCGGTACTTGCTGTACTGTTTATCACCTCCACAGGTATATCTGAACACTCACCTGTTAGCTAATGGTATTATATGTTAGTTCTCCCTTATATATACACCTGAGTCTATGTGCCTCTTGATCACTGATGCGGAAGTAGGCGACAGTCTGTGTCCTGAGCTGCAGGTGGGGTTGTAGGCCAGGGGCGACGTGGCGGAAGAGCGGGCGGAGTGAAGCGGATCCTCCCACAGCTACCAGCACCCTCCAAGCCCTCACCACCTCCCCGCCCTCCGTCACCACCTCCCACCTGCCGCACCACACTAAGTTAATTAACTGTAATATATCTATTATCTGGACACACTTACATACCTGTAAGTCTCTAATATCCTGTGACTACCTCCTACCTTACATAAAATTAATCACCTGTACACGTGATCACACTCAGCAATATCCTAACTCAACATTATATCTGGTGAGGGTACACGACCAGCGCTCCACGGACCAAGCAGTGTTTAAGGCAGGTTACCGGGACTCCTTACAGTTGTCAATTATGGGACGACAAACCTCCGGAGTAGTACAGGCGGGACTGTATAATTCCGTCCGACTTTGTTTATCTGAGACACCTTCCACGTGTAGCCATAGCTCAGCTTGTGTTTATCGACCCGAATGTTATATTTTAGCTCTACTTCATGATTGAAAACAAAGCTAACTGTTTCACTGCTGCTGTAACACAAAGAAGACCAAGATAACATTAACATTGTACCAAAACGATCCGTAAGGAACAGGACCCTGGGCTACACCTCACCTGTGGGACGGCTCGTGGGCTGGCCTGACAGTGGACACCACCTGGGGCATCACCTGGGCCCCACACCGGCGAGCTACCACCTGCTGGGCCCTCACTAGGTTTCTCGGGCTCAAGTGTCCCGCGCTAGCGAGAAGGATCATAGGATAGATCAGAGTTATTAATAAGTTAAACCATTACGCATGGTAGTACAAAGTCTCTAATGCAGGGCACAATTTTTACATTTATGATGTAAAATTTAGTTACAAGGCATGTAAGCCAAATATCTCGTGAAACTGAAGGTTTGTTTAGAAAATATGCAGCTACTTTAAGAGATGACTATATTCCTCCGAAACATCATATGATATTTGATTATTTTTATTTCGGGTCAGCTAGACTGGTGTCATCACAGCCATTGCCCTCAGAAGTGGAAGTTAAGAGTTACATCAAGGGCGGCCATACGTCCATGTAACACAAGATCACTTAGTTCCCTTTTAACACCAACAAAATTCTTACCAGCTATTGACTCACTTCAACATTTAATTCCCTCTCCAAATGTGTCTTTGTGGTCATCGTATAATGCAAACTATAATAAAAGGTGTTGTTGAAAGATAGGTTTGATCTAGGTGCCATACTTAGACTTCTCCCAGAAAATGTAAGACTCTTGGGGAAAGTTGAAGAAAGGGAAATGTTTTCTCCAGGAGCGGGTGAGGTCGAGGGTGTTAAGGCCCTGGTCACGCCCACACTTCATCAGCTCCTGGTACTCAGCAGCATCAGGAGTCGCGTGCACGTATCCAACCTCCTCGTGGAATCTCACCCCTACCCCGGATTACCCAGTGAGAGTGTAAAAGTTTTAATTTAGACTTATAAAAGTGATTGAGCTTTAAGGTGATAAAATATTCCAAGAGATCCACAGCCATTAGAGGCCACATGTAAAAGGTTTTTAACTACAATTGATTTATTCCCGATAATTTTAATCTGCCTTTAGAGTTATTTTTGTAAGATAAATTATATATCTGAGTGGAGGAGACCTTGGGAACAACAATAAAACTCGTGGTTATTGTCAGTCAGTCATTCAGAGTTGTTAACGTGATGCATCATACTCAACATGACTACCTCCTGCAGGGTGTATCGCTACGTGTATGTTATTGTTCACTTAAACTAAAACGTAAAAACAGGTTTATCAATTTATCACCTTAAAGTCTAAAGAGATAAGTTAAACACTTGCTGACCACTTGAAATGATGTTATTGTTATTTTCATATAAAAGTTTTCTTACGATTGCCTACACTCGGTTCCATAGACTGTGTCGCGTGACGTACCTGAGAGGTGCTCGAGGTGTGTGTACCTGGCGACGGACTGTTGGGCCAGCACGGACCAGGTGTGTTCAGCCGCGATTCGACGGTAAACTCGCCCCTCATCGTACCAGCACCCGAAGATCTGGCGGGACGCGCGTGTCTGTGGAATGTTATGGGGCTTAGACAATAAGGAGTGAGGGGGAAGGACCGGGGAACAAGGAAAGAGAAGACTTTTACAAAACTCAAAAGAAGAAGTAAAAGATAATAAGATTCAAGAAGACGAAAAATTTCAGAATTCTTCTCACCTGCGGCTCCGCGGGCCCAATGAGACAGACGGAAGTGTTGGGTATGCTGGCGGCGTGACGGGCGGCTGCTGACCCCATTAGGCCTGAACCCACTACCACCAGGTCAAAGGTCATTTGTACGCTACCAGCCATCCTCCTTTCTTAC